TCTATAAAAAGTGCACCCATGAAATTTATATTCTGCTTTGGTTGAATACTATAGCTATCATTTCGTAAAATCTCTTCAAAATTAAAAATAGGTAGTTGAACCTGTTTGTCCACTAGCCGTTCCGTTTTACCCTATGGGGTAAAAAGGACCAAGCAATAATTTTTCGATAAAACAGCAAGAACACATATTTATACAGTAACAAATTACCACTTTTGCACCATGATGCCTTTGAAGTTGTTAGCCCAAAATACATCATATTTAATGTAAGCAATTTGTAGATTTTTTGTAAGAAGTGTTTTCAAGTAATTAAAAAGCAAAAATTTCACGTAGAAAGCAAAAAAAAAATCATTCAAAATTTAAAAAATATATATAAGCATAATATTTGGATTAAAAATGATCGACTTATAACTAAAACATAAATTTCAATTTACCGTATACCGACGACAGCTCTGAAAGTGACAACTATTTAGAAATAGATAGACAACGATTTGATAACAAGAAAACTTTGTATGGACTTTTCAGTCAATAGAGTATATGATAATGCTGATAAAATTTTGAGTATGAATTTCAAATAATATTTATTCTGAAACTTTATAAAAGACCCATATAAATAATTACTTCTGAACTTGGATTTGCATATAATTGTTACCTTACGTTCAAGTTTATTACAACAAAAATTAAATAAATTTAAAATTAATGCAAGTCAAAAATTATTTCCGATTATGTGAATAGTAGGTAATTATTCGATGATTATCATCATAAAATAATAATATCACTCCATAATTTGTTATTCTAATTACATAATATATAATTGAACTGTAACTACAATTGTACGGTAAACATAATGGTTCAAAAAATAAATTTTTAATTAAATCGAGCATTGATTCCAAATGACGTTCTAATAGCAGTAATGTTTAATATATACTGTAATAAATAGCCATTATAGAACGAAAACAACCGATACCAAAAGTTAAAATAATTAAAGCCACACGATTTGATAACAAGAAAATTTTGTAGAGACTTTTCTGTCAATAGAGTACATGTTAATGCTAATAAAACTATAAGTATGAATTTCAAATAATATTTATTCTGAAAGTTTATGAAAAACCCATATAAATAATTACTTCTGAACTTGGATTTGCATATAATTGTTACCTTACAAACCTTACAAATTTAAGCCGTTTACTATTATCATGCAATCATGTCATTTGTAAAAACGTATTTATTTGACAATGTAACTGTTCCTACCGACGTTTCGATTACCTTTCAAAAGATCCTATAAATATATTCCGATATGTCTTGTATGTTTGATGTCGAAATTCTCTTATATAGTTTATCCCCATTTCGCAAGTCGAGGCCCATAGGCGGGCGGGCGTCTTATGACGTAGCGAGCTGCTATTGTGATTTAGAGCCATCAGAAACATATGTCGCAACGGCCCGCGCGCGCTCTGCGCTTTTCCTACCTACCCCGCGGCAGGGGCTCACTGGATATACTACTTACTTGTATCGAGAATAAAATAAGACTTCCTCTCAGTCGTAAACATATTCGGGAGATTTGCTAAAATATTTGGGGATTGAGATTTAAAACATTTAACCATACAGGAGAAAATCGACACAAAGTATAAAACTTGTTGCCTTTAAGTTTATTTTTTTTGTCGATCTACTTTGAAACTGCATGAATAATGTGATTTTTGTACTTTGGAAAATAATAGGAGTTGTAATAGAATTTAAACGTTTTGCTATTTTTTATGAATTGATTACATCCGGTTCGTTTGGACCCAACTATGTTTACACTGATTAGATCCGGTTTGTTTAGACCAACTTTGTTTTGAACCGATTAGTTCATAACGTGAGTTTTAGAAAGAGTTCGTGATCAAACGAGAAACTGTCAAACTCTGTTAAAATAGTACACTTTTTAAAAAAACTAACAACAAAAGAAAATTTATTGTTATGGATTTTCAAACATTGGCCTTTATCGCCCGATAGCGACGTCATAAGAATCTACTATCTATATAATCTATAAGAGGTGATGGCTAGTTGTACATCTTTTTTCATCTACTATCAAATATTGTTGTTTAACTAGTGGGGCGCATGGATTCGTGCCTTAAGGCAAATTGCTGGAACTTCCCGTACCAAATTTTTTTTTTAAAAGATTAACATTTTTGAAAAAAAATTACTCTGAAAAATTAGATTTTTGAGAAACTATGAATTTTTGACAAAAATTTACTTTTTTTTGAAAAAGACTTCTTGAAGAAAAGTGTATTTTAAAATATTTTGGAAATTCTGAACTGTTTTTCAAAGCAATCGTACTGCTTTAACTGCATAGAGACGAAATATCGAAGCGCGTAAGCCGCCGTCTTACAGATAAGCATTGGTACGGAACCCATAGAAATGTAAACAAAATTTTTACTTATTGTGAAAATCTCTATAAAATATCTGATAATTTGATGTCTAATGATCATTTTTGACCGCCAGATGGTTTTTTTTTTTACTTTTTTTACTAGATCTCCGAAACCGCTAGACCTGCGTTCATGAAAATTTGATCAGTTGTTCATCTTGTTAATACAAGTAAAATGTTTTTGTATTCTTTAAATCGGACGCTCCGTTCTCTTAAAAACTGAGTTACCGTTTTTGGCACTTTTTGCCCCAGCACGTCTCCTTATCAATACGAATCGAATGTTTTTTGAAATCGCTTCATCCGTGTTCCCGAAATCGTCGACGAAAATTTATATCCGAACACACATACACACTCGCGCACATACACACATACACACACATACACACACACACCTACACACACACACATACATCCATTTTTTCTAAGGTATGCCAAAATATTCAGAAACCTCTCAAACGTAAAGATATATAAAAATTTTCATTTTCGATTTTTTTGCGATTACTATAACTTACCCTACGGGAAGTTATAAATTCTTAACTTTACTTATTTTTGAGATGACGATGGTGAACTTTTTTATGCGCGGACCTTTAAGCCCCATTGTATCTTACAATAAAAATAAAAACTAATAATACATATGGTAAATTTATAAAGACAAAAAGATAGGAATATAATATACTTTCAAATTAAATTTATTTATACCGAAGCAATTAAATTCATAAAATATTTTATTGCAACTAAAATAACAAAAATCGCATAAAATACACGGCATAATAATACAAATTCCAAATGCACAAAAACCTTAACGTCGCTTTCACATATCTATTCGAATATTATCTCATCATCAATAACATCTATCTCATTGGATTCCCACATAAAGCTCATTTCGTTTCTAGAACTGCGAGAGCTTTATGCCCCTTCCTCCCGTGACATGAAATGAGAGCTTTCGTGCTTTCATGAAGAACAAGGAAAAGCTTAACATCGGCCAATGGCGCTTTGTAATGGGCGGGACCGCGGTTAAAGGTGGAGCTTTTGAAAACTGGAAAAACACATTGAAACATGATAGTTGAATAAAACACAAATGCAACATTCTAACAATGTACTCTTCTGGCGGAAATGTGCTCGTAGTCGATGTAGATACAACAAAAAGTTTCATTGCCGCGCCAATTGGACACCGGAAAATGTGAGATGCGAAATAACTATATTTAGTTAATACGTTGTATTGTAATTGTGTATTGGCAAATATGAAAACTTAGTGAAATTTTGTTCGGTGTTCGAGTAAGTTATTAAAATCGCAAAAAACGAAATCGAAATTCCTGTTTCAAGACCTCCAAATCATTGTGTCACATACTAGAAAAATTATGCGAAAAGGTGTATGTGTATAAAAAAATATTTTAAATATATAGCGATAATTTCTAAGTGTATTAATTGTTTATACCACATAGAAAAAGGCGGCGTACGAAGGTCCATTTTGAATTTGAGCAATTATATTGTGAAAACTAAACCAATTATATAACAACAAACATCCCATATCAAACAAACAAGTATGTTCAGTGAAATTCCCAACTAATTCGTCAGCGTAAAAATGTGTTTTTTTCTGTTTCTTAATAAATTTGTCACCTGATTCTTTTTACTTCATAGCAAGGGTAAAACGGCAAACAGGTCCAGTATTTTACGAAATAATAGTTACATTATTCAACTAATGCAAAATATAATTTTTATGGGTACATTTTTTACAGAGATAAGACTGTATAAAATATAACTTTGATCTGGCATTTCGTCAGAAATATACATCGGCAGAGTTGGTATAACTATTTATTTAATTTATCTTTTGCTTCAAATTGCTTATTTAAACTTAATTTGCTTTTTTATTTACTATTTTTACTGTTTCGACCTTTGTCAGAGTAAAGAGTTGGTCCTTCTTACCTCACCCACGTGTGAGCTTTAATATAATAAAGTGTAAAATTTAACTCAAAATTAACAATACTTATAAAACAATTATATAATGTATACTTATATAACGTAACTATTATATAAAATTATATTCAGGTTTCATAAACTAAACAACAGTGCTCACAACCTAAAAATTAATAACAAAAAATAATACTTTTGTTATCATTCACTATTACTTGTTTGAAAAACGTTAAGTTTCAGCAATTTGCAAATTTTAAAGGCCATGCTAATAATTTGAAAGCTCTAAATTTAAAAGATTTAGGTAAAATATTTAATAAACATAAACTGTTGATAATTCAAGCAATACACTTGTCAATTTAATTTATACAATGCACTTGTATATTTAATTTAACTTTTAATTTGAATATTGCCTAGAGATAAAATTAAATTTGCTTATATTATTTGAATATTTATATTAGTTAATTATTTGATTACTGTACATTGCCACGTAGTTATAAAATTTATGTAATAAACTCTCCTTCGATAATTCAGGTTATAATTTAACCCTTGTAGCTGTAGACTTTAGATTTGTTTTGTATTTGTATGTATTTGTTGCAGTCCTTATTACAATCACTGATTTGTCACTAAGTCATAATAAAATAAGATATTTTTTATTTATTAATTATTTTACATGTTGTTTCGCGGACTTTACTTTTGGAAGTGAACAATTAGTTCCATTAAACTCTCCGCTACCTCCTCTGGCAGTGGTAGCAATCATCCCGTGTAAAAGCTCAATACCATGAAGATTGTCACCTTCATGGGCAATATAATAAATGAAAATACGTCCGAACAATTATAATGTCATAATATTATATAATGATTGCCAAAAAATCATACAAATTTGTACAAGTAGACAAATTACATACATAATATAATATCAGTTACCAGACTGACGAAGAAATAAATAAAAAATTAGAATTAAAACTTAGCATTACAGCCATGCAATGAAGATATTTTTATCTGTCTGGTTCAACTTAAGAAAAAGTTGGGCCATGACATAATGGTTTCAAGAACTATTGGAAATTAGAACTATAACATTCTGTATCTACATATTTGAATTATTTGTTCGTTTAAATAATTTATTATAAAAAGCGCGTATTATTCGGAATAGGTATGCAAATGCTGGACATTATAGTTGTATAATTTTTTATCCAAAGTTATAGATTGAATGGTCTTCCTAGATGTGTGTTTAGATTCTGAATTGAGGGCGATTAGAGTCGGGCGGTGGCGTTGGCGGTGTGACTAAAAACACTCCCGGTCCCGAACTGTCAAATGCACCGTGCTCGCACGCCGCGTGTGTGCCGTACGGCACCCGTTACGAGCAATATTCGCATAGGGGCGAAGACTAGTCGAGAAGCTGAATGATTTGTTGGCTGCATTTCTCAATGTATTATTATTCTATGCGAACGATGCAATAATTTATATACTCCTTTCGACGACTTCAAACAAAGCAATATGTTATACTTAATTTATTGACCTAAAACAAACTTTTGTTACATTCACTAAAAGAAACAATAAGTATGGTTCGATTTATTATTAAATTTATAACACATTCTTATTTAAAGCTTTAAATAAATTTAACTATCGTATTTTGAAATAAAAATTATTGAGTATGAAAGTAGATATATTTTTTTTAATAGATTACAGGCATAAATAAAAATTTTAAAATATTTCTTAGTTATTAATATTTTAGTCAAATAAAAAATTAGCCGGATGACTTTAACTGAAAATTTTAATAAACGTGGTTCGACAGTTGTTTGTTGATACGTGTTGTTTCTTGTGATATAGCTGGTTTGGTTTTTCAAAGTATAATTTCTACCTTATATAATGAATATCGCTAGTAAACTCGTCAAAATTGGGTAAAAAAGTCCACCACCGATATCTCAAAAACAAGTGAAGCTAATACATTTTTAGTAACAACATTAGAATTTTTAATTAAAAGAAATTGTGAATAAAAAGTAAATTAAGTTTAAAAAAAGCAATTTTACAAGAAACCAAATTAAATTAACAGCTGATAAATATGCTGATGAATACAGTGCTATCTCTGTATAACATGTACCCATAAATTATATTTTTTATTAATTGAATAGTGTATTATTTTGTGTAAATCCTTTAAAATTAAAAATTATACAT